GGAGAGCAGATTCAATGGGCACGATAGACTAGTGCTTTGACAAGGTGAACTTTGGATTTAGTTGGTGTGTAGCTTCCCCATGGAATATACAAGCCAGTAAAGGTGGGTTTTCTGTAAACCGTCATGTCTAAACTCTTGGTGTCGTTGTTGCGGGTAATATTGACATCTAAGAAGGATATCACACCGTCCCGTTCACCTTCTGCAGTGAATTTTAATGCAGGATGTAGACCGTTTAGGGTTGTTAAAAAGTTCTCGCAGGTTTCTTGGTCCTCGTCGTGACAAAAAACATCATCTACAAAACGGTAGTATACCGAGGGCCATAGCGATGGGGGAATGGATGACTCGCAAAATCCAACGAATATGTTTGCTAATACCGGACCAAGTGGAGATCCCATCGCAACTCCATCCAACTGTTTATACATGACATTGTCAAAGGAAAACTCAACACCAGAAGTGACCATTAACATCATTTTGACAAATTCGCTCTCATTCAAATCTGGTGGAGTCACGGACTTGTTATGGTACAACGCTGCTGCACAAATATCAATGGTTTCACGCAATGGAACATTGGTGAACAAACTGACGACATCGTACGAGCACATGTAACCACACGACTCAAACTTCGATTTCCTGATCTTATCTACGAACTCGAATGTGTCCTTGACGCAATGGTTATTGTAAAGGGCGAGCACAGTCTGCAGCATTGCGCACAACCACTTGGATATCTTAAATTGCGGAGAACCGGACATGCTTAGTATCGGTCGTAATGGTATATTCTTTTTGTGAATTTTCGGCAGGCCATGCATCCGTGGCCGAGTGGATCCCGTTGGTGCTAGCCGGTCATGTTCATATTGAGTAATCTGATGAGATCTAGATAGAAACAGTAGGTATTTACTTAATTTCGTATCTATGTTTGCAGTGTGATCATAACCATCGCACGGGCCGAGTCTACAGAACTTAGTGGTGTCATTGAGTATGACCATCATCTTCGCTCTATACTCCACTGCCGACATAATCACCGTTGCCCGGCCCTTGTCAGGGCGAGATATCACGATTTCAGGGTTCTTCCTAAGTTCCTTGAGAACTTTTATATGTTCCCGCGTCAGTGAAAAGGATCGTGTATCTGGCGGAGACTGGGCAAACCGGAACGCCTCGGCAGCCAAGGAAGCTCGGCAGGTTGCCGCCGCCAACTCCGATTTCGCGGGAACAGTGGACAGCTGTTGTTGAAGAAGTTCAAATTCAGCCAAAATATCAGTCTGGTTGAATTTGGGAGGGATACCAAAATCCATTCCACCACATAGAACATCTTTCTGTAGTTGACTGAGCGTGATACCGGCAAGATTAATGATTGTGTCGTAGTTGTCGCTGCAGGCTCCAAACCTATCTCTTCTCAACGCTGAAACTAGGTTAGTTCGCTTCGTGTCATGTTTGGATCGTTGCTTGCGATCACATTGGGAGAGTAACCAAGAAAATCTGATAAAGTCAAAGACATTGAGAAGCCGGCGAATATTTTGATACGAGGAAACAAACTTTGATCGTACATTCTGTAGGTGACCCTTAGCCTTGTTTAGGTCATCTCCGAGGAGGACCTTTTCAATTGATATAGAGTCATAGAGCTTCAATTTCTGGACCCGTTTCTGAAGGTACTTCGGTGCCACCGAATAATGGAGACACTCACGGAGTAATCTTACATGGAAAATCGCAGTGTTAGTCGTCCCCTAAGGGAAATGACTTCGTTAAGAAGAGCAATATAGTCACTGGGAAGACGTAGCTTAAAGTAGTTGAAGCAATGCCGTGACGACAGAAAACACAGCAGAGCGGTATTGGTGGTGGTATGCATATATGGGGGACAAGGTCAACCCCACGAATCTCACTCCGTGAAGCCCACGGAGGAGACCCCAGAGCCATAGGTGTGGACCATCTGCTTATGGTTACAGGGGGCGGTATAACAACAGCCGTTGTGACTGCATGTCCGATACTGGAACGCCTTTGTCTGCGTCCAGTGTAGATGTACGCATGCGCGCCTCCGCCTCGACGGGCGGGGAGCTTGGCCCATCTCAGACAAGCGTGAGGAAGCGAGGGAGACCGTCTCGAAAACCACCCAATGTGACACTGGAGCTCATAGACACCGGAAGAGTTACCAGAAGCAAGGTGAAGAGACGGAGTACTGGGAATCTGAATACGTCGATAATGGAAGTGACAACAACGATCAACAAGAGGAAACGAGGAAGACCAAGAAGTGACACGAAAACGGCCATGAAATCAACAAAAACGGACATGAAATCAACGGACGTTGGAGGTGTGGACCGGAGCAACCAACCAAACAAGCCTAACGGAAGAGAACAACGGCAGGCGGCGAAGGTGACAGAGCTAAGTGATCGGACATCGTCCATCAAGCGTCATTTGTCGGGCAGTGCTAGTTGTCGTAAGTTGTATAGTGATGATATCTTTTCGATTTTGACTCGTGGAAGGTCTAAGTCACATCTTGCTGTGTTAGAAGCTCTGTATATTCGTAAACTAGATCCAGAACTATGTGTACAGAAGGAGAATGTGTTATCGTTGCAGTTGTTTGGTGTCACACCTCGTGAAAGTGTGACAAGTGTTCCCTGATGTGTTCAACGTGTTTGTCTACAACTTGCAGCTGTTTGTTTTTGAGTTTTTAACACTTTAATCATTTTTAACACCTATGTTTAAGTGTTGACTTTTTCTTTCTTTCATTCTCTATATAGTTATGTGTTTTTCTAATTTCCAACATTCCCTGTACTATCCTAAAGAGAAGGGAAAGAAAATGTTTGATAGAAAAAGTGTCTACTGAATTGTGTGGATTTGCGTCGTTGCATGCGAATACGTATTACGAAACTGTTTTTCCCACCGCCTCCAAACTACTGTTTGAATTATTATTATTATTATTATTACGAAGTAGTGGTTGCGACTTCGGCGATGATTTGTAAGAAAGGTTTGCTCCCCACACCGGAGCTCGCGCTATTCCGCCGACTTTACTTGACACTTGACTGACTCACGACTGCCATCCAGAGCACACGAGAAGTCCATCGAACCTTCGACTCGGCAAACCTGCAAGAAAGCACCACTCCCTGCTCAATACACAGTGTTTCGGGGAATTCACCCCTCATCAGTTGAGCTTGAGTAGGCTGAGGAAGCTTGTGCCTGAAGAGCACCACTTATATAGTGCTCTCCAGGCACAAACATCACCAGGGATACAAACTTACAGAGACGCTCCGCTTCCAGCGCGATAAACACCTCGTGAACACCAGATAGCAGCGTGAGTCAGTGTCGCTCCTGGACGGTGAGACAGACGTCGAGGACCCTCGGTCATTCGCAACGCTGTCACCTCCAAACCAACTAGTCGCAAGCCTCGACGTCTGTCTCACCGTCCAGGAGCGACACTGACTCACGCTGCTATCTGGTGTTCACGAGGTGTTTATCGCGCTGGAAGCGGAGCGTCTCTGTAAGTTTGTATCCCTGGTGATGTTTGTGCCTGGAGAGCACTATATAAGTGGTGCTCTTCAGGCACAAGCTTCCTCAGCCTACTCAAGCTCAACTGATGAGGGGTGAATTCCCCGAAACACTGTGTATTGAGCAGGGAGTGGTGCTTTCTTGCAGGTTTGCCGAGTCGAAGGTTCGATGGACTTCTCGTGTGCTCTGGATGGCAGTCGTGAGTCAGTCAAGTGTCAAGTAAAGTCGGCGGAATAGCGCGAGCTCCGGTGTGGGGAGCAAACCTTTATTATTATTATTATTATTATTAATAACCTACGTGGAGATAATAATTTTAATATAGCTATGAATAGGATGAAGGCCGCAGACATCACGCAACTACGTTACTTGTTTGACATGTATCACTGTGTATTTTATAACAAAAATATTATTGAAAACCCAGAATCGATTTTCTCGTTCCTATCATCAGTGGGAAAAAAGGGAACTAAGGATACAACAAAAGAAACTGAAGTTAAGTACTGTAAAAAGAAAGGTGTTAGAAATAACATCAAGATACAAGTGCAATAAAACCACTAGAGGATACGCAAAAAAGGGTAACAGGATTACATAACCAAAGGCGAGAAGGCACTGAACGAAGTGTCAACCTACGAATACAACTTCAGTGCAACAATGTGCTCTTTTTATTCATAAGCCTGTTTTGTGTAAGCAAAAAGAGCACATTGTTGCACTGAAGTTGTATTCGTAGGTTGACACTTCGTTCAGTGCCTTGGTTATGTAATCTTGTTACCCTGATTCGTGCCTTGTTTTGGTTTCACGTGGCAGAGCTATTCGGAGCAATTACCAGAAGGGTTTGGAGAAAACGGAGTGCCTCCTGATTACTGCGTGCTCGATGGGCCGTATAGAAAATGTAACTTGGCAAGCTCGTTTAAGCTACTAAAATTAAAAATTAAATTAAAGTTAAAATTGAGACTGTTACTGGTACAATTTTCGTCTGATGATCGATTTTAAAAGTTCGTGAAACTCGGAGTTACGAAACCGCAACTGCTCGTTCTTCTGTCTGACTATCACTAGTAGGGTTGACAGTGTGTACTGTTATGACCTGGCTTATGTTTCGCTGTTTTTCTCCACAGCCTTTAAAACAACTACTGTTTTTGGATCAAATACTGGAATTCTGTGTAGATGGCTTTGTTCACAGTATTTACCTTGCTTCCCATGCAAACACTTTGGCTATAGCTCTGAGTGGAAGTTCTACATCAAGACAATAACCTCTGTATAACGTTATTATGTGTAAATGCCATGGGACCATTCTGGTTCGGGAATATACAATGTCCAAATGCGCCAGGTGATGGTGCGATTGAGTACAAAACATCATGATTCACGGTATACCCTGGGCAGCTAAATTAAGCACGGTCACTACTTCAGGCCGCCGTTACCATAATATGTCTAGATTATGAAAAACCCAGGTCCAGGTGACCTCTGGGAGAAACCCAATGAAACGTACCAGCATGGAGTTACTGTGCCGGCCATGTTTGATTTTTACCAAATTGTAACCGCCGAGGCCAATGCCAATCAATACCACAACGTTCCTTCTGTCGATCTTCAGGAGAATTTGTCCTTCCAAAGTTTGTGTACAATGGCGTGGAGCTACCCTTCACGACGTGCTTGAAGAGGAACATATCAGCTACAAGCGACCCCTTTTCGTATATGATGTTCACCGCAATGCTCACCATACCGCCGGAAAACTCAGAGATGTTCGATTTAGGTAAGCACCACAATAAAGGTGCACGTGTGTCAATTGACTCGGGTATTTTTATGATCACTTATTGATGAACATTTCATCTGTATAGGATCATTGCCACCAGCTTTCCACCAACACTGGAATTCTGCTGAATGCGGGTGTCCCATCTGGTTCGCTTTCTATACATGTATGACGATGAGCCGATTACCGGTATATGATAAAGCAACCACTGTCATGTATGATATCGAAAGGAACACAGCACTACAATTATTGTAGTGTTGGTTACTTGGATGTTCAAATCCCGTCACTGAATTGCACAGTGACTGTCTATCTGAAAAGGGCAACAAAAGTCCATTGTTTTTTGATATCCCCATATTCGTTATCAGACGCTACGGCTGCGTTTACATGACAACGCACTGCCAGTTTTCCATTTTCAGACCCGCATATCTTTTCTCGTTTTCGTGCATTTACACGATCAAAGCTGATCCGAGGTGGTCTCGGTTTGTATTGTTTTCGCGCGTCTACACAGGAGCAAAGGATCCACCAAAGTTCGTCATGTGCCAAGTGTTGTCGTGGAAGCACCAATCACACTCAACGAATAGTTGAAAACAGGCCACACGACAACACTCGTCACATGACGAAAAGTGTAAAAAAATTGATTGTCGTATCCGTGTGAACGGCCGAAAACGGAACAAACGTGACTGAAAACGAGGTCACCAGACCGTTTCGACTGTTTACATACCCAAATTTATCCGGCAGAACATTTCCGTTTTCAAATTCTTTCACCTTGGCCAGCGTTTTGGTTTTCTTCCGTTTTGGTGTACAACTTTTACGTTTTGCTCCGTGTGTACATGTGTAAATGAACCCTGCACCCGAAAGGATTTTGTTGCGTTTTCACCCCCAGCGTTGTCGTGTAAACGCAGCCTCAGAAAAAGACATTGCCTGCCCTCTAGCCTGGCAGTAAATTCTCGGAGAATGTTTACTTTAACCATGCCTCTAGATTAGTGAATATCAGGGAGTCGTAAAATACCGGTATTTACCGGTAAATACCGGTATTTTACGACTCCATGGTGAATATCACATCCTTGTTCAATTTGTGCACAGGATTTTTTCTCGACTTTGACAGAAACTTCCACGCAAGCATGGGTGGCACCTTCGAAGGCATGGTACCAGCTATGGACCCACTGTTTTACATGATTCATAATTTCGCAAACAAGATGCTGGTGAATTTCCAGATGCAAGGGCCGCAGCATCTAATCGGTGGAGGGCTCTGGAACAACACAGTATCTGTGACAAGTAGGTATAACGTTAAAGCTACCAGTGTAATATTCTTTGGTCGATGTGTTGCCGTGGTTTGGCATGTGCCTAATGCCTGCCTAGATGTGCATAGAAGCTCAGTGAAAGCGGATGCAGATTCATCACCAAAATGGATGATGGTTGCAATAGCATGAAAAGAGGTTTTTTTCATGTTGCCATGCAGCTTTCCAATGGTTTCAGAACAAGGATTTTCTTGATGCCACAAGCTTTCCGAATGATGTATGCATTCACTGGGATGCAGTCGCCGATCAGGAGAAGCTGATTCAGATGGGCTACTACGCAGGGCTAGAAACACCACGTACCCACCACATAGCACTGTCGTACAAGGTTAGTTGTGATTGTCAGGCTGCGTTTACAAGGAGACGAAACGAAACGGAACGAAACGAAATCGTTTTCGAACCGTTTACACGAAAACGGCAAATCGTTTTGAACCGTTTACACGAAAACGGAAAACGGGCGATCAGGCTGGAGTTAGCACGTGCTGGCTAGGCGCAAGGGCGGGAAGTAACACGTTAGTTGGAGTTCGTAAGTGCTGGTGGTCGCAAAGGTCAGGTATTTCCCGCGAAATATAGTCCCGCGCGGAATGGTTTCCATGGCCGCGCTCCGTTTCCAATCGTTTTCACTGTTTTCACCGTTTACACGAGAACGAAAACGTTTTGAAAACGTTTTGAAAACGTTTCAAAACACTTTGAAGTGCGTTTCCATTTTGTTCCGTTTAGGTATCGTTTTCGGGCGTTGTCGTGTAAACGATAGTAGTAAACGCAACGATTTCGTTCCGTTTAGGTTCTACTTCGTTGTCGTGTAAACGCAAATCGTTTTCAATCGTTGTCGTGTAAACGCAGCCTCAGTAAGAATACTCTAGATGTTGTATGCCTACATGCATGGCCGGAACTGGGTCGTAAGCAAATGAAGAATCTTTGCTGTACTCGGATTTTTTAAACAGAAAGGTTCCAGGCTGTCCAAACATGTGCTGAATGCCTGCGGGCAGAGCTACTTACAGCAAGTAGAAGAGGATTAACAGTTTGTTGTCTGATGATCTCCTCAGCGTGCGTGAAACTCTGACTCACAAAAAAATTTCATTCTCTGCGCCTTGTACTAAGATTTAAATTATAGTATAAAAAACCTCCAGTCATTTGCGTGCTCTAAAAAGCAGGTAATATTTCTGGTTATCACTCGTATAAAAAACGTGGTGCTATAAAAAACGATAATACTCATAAAAAGGACACACTTCAGGCTCATTACAAACATCTTGAAAGTTTTTGTCTTCACAAGTATACTTTCAAGCCTTCTCGTCAACAGGAACAGGAACAGGAACAGTGGATTAAATACAGTAAGAAGGTGGTGAAACAGCGCAAAAAAAGAAAGAAGATAGCTAAAGTAAACAGCGAAAATTGCAATAATGACACAAAGGTGCAAATGCGAGAAAACTCAATAAGCGTGACATGTAGTGCGACAACAAGAGACAACCACTGGACATACATGTAACTAACGAGGTTTTGACGACCTACCTAACAGCCTAAGTGTAAAAAACCTGTATAAAAAACCTGGTGCTACAAAAAACCTGTATAAAAAACCTGGTGCTGTAAAAAACCTGGTGCTACAAAAAACCGCTTTTTAGGAAAAAACAATCCAGCATGGTAGTACAGAACAAAAACAGCACATATTGGCTCAGAGTTTCAAAAACAGCACAACGAAAAGAAAAACTGGAAAAACAGAATAGAACGACACGAAAGGCAGAAAGTGGAAGTGAGCACAAATAAGCTTACGGTACTCCTGCTTCTCCTCGGCCTCCTTCTTGGGTTTTTTCTTAAGCTTTAAACTGAGTCGCTTCTTCCTCTTCTCAGGCGTGGGAGCCATCATGTTGATAGTGACATTAGACCAAGTTGACCCTTGAGCCGAAAGAACTGATGGAATGGGACTGGCTGCAGCAGGCTGTGCCTCGTTTCCACGAAGGCAGAAGTGAAGCGTAGTGTGGAACCATACAAACTGAGTCACCTTCTTCACATCCAGCGTGGTTGACGCATTGGCGAAATACTCCTTTAGGAGAACCCAATCATCATCAGCAATACTATCCTTGTGGACAACAGGAGCCTCCAAACCAGTCCGCTTCCTCTCCTTTAGCACAGCATCCAAGAGTTTGTTGTACCTGTTGAAAACCTGACCTTGCAGGCTGATTCCTCACTCTAGAGAGTTCAGGTGGCGTTGCCCCGCGAGCAGCAATCATACTTGCACGCTTGTACTCGGATTTGTCCTGCTTTTTAGCCGAGCAGTAGAAGTCTTCGAGCAAGCCCGCAAGTTCTCCCTCTGTGACATTTTTCCAGTCGCAAGATTTACTATCCGTTTGCAAGAAATCGGAAGAAAACAGTCAACCAGAATTCCGTTGCCGTTTTGGTTGACTTCGGCACTGCGCCCTCCAACAGCTCGTCTTTCCTTGTGGAAATTACAGGTTCGAAACGCGAAGACTCAGCCATAGTTCTTCAAAAGCGAAAAAAAGTTACAAGGAAATGAAAAAGGCAACGTTCTTGCTCAATGCACATGGAAATGACAAGAAATTACTGCGCATGCGTCCCCCTTTACCCAGAAGTCATGTGCAAATAAAAATCGTTCTTTATACTATAATTTAAATAGAATTTAAGCTTCGCCCTCGTGTTTACGGGAAAAAAACCTTCGGTAAAAAACCTTGGCTTCGCCTCAGTTTTTTGCTTCGGGTTTTTATTTCCCGTAAACACTCGGGACTCAGCTTATATTCTATACATAAAAATTGGATTGATAATTTTAGTTTCAGTTCACATGTCACACATGGAAGAATCAATGGGCTTAACGCATCTGTCAGTGAAATCCAGGCAGAAGAGCTAACAAAAGGCATCTCAATATTGTTGTAACGTATCGCAGGAAGAACAACTACGCAAGCGCAGCATATTTTTCCACAAGCATGAGCCATTTTTTCTTGTCTGGAGCCAGCTCAAAACAGTCAAATATTATCAAAAAATGGATTATAGGAGACACAAATACGATCATGCCGCTCGGAAGGGTACGAATTGTTCTAGTGCACATTCTGTCTTCTCTTTTGCAGGAGGTTAGGGATATGGACATGGACAGCAAGGCTGCAGCGAACTATGTCCAGTTCATAAAGTCCGTCAGGGACACCTTTCTGTCAGCGTTTACCAATGATGAGAATGGCTTCCATCTGACCAAGGACTGGTGAGCTCAATGTAACAGCTCTGTTAGGTTGCACAGTGCAAGGATAGAAAAGAATGGATCATTAGAAGCGTAACACTTCCGTGCCTTTTCAGGGTTCACCATACGCTGTGATTTTTTCTAATGCAGGTTTGGGATTTTGGATTCTAATAAAGGCAGTGCAACTCGTAATGAACGTTGACACTCAGCACATGCTTTGAACGTCCTTTGTATGACGTGGTATCCTGATAAAGGTGACATTACAACAAATTTTGCCGTCGAAGAGACAAGGTATAAATTTGCACACTATTGTCTAATATTATTCTCTTGGTTAGACCCACCAAAGCCCTCAAAGGACAAAGAACCATGTTCATGAATTAGCCACAATTACCTGAGGTGCAATACCTATTTTTTTATTATTGTTGTTTGGCCACAGGTACAAGCTGTTTATGGCTGGCTTCGGAAACAGGAAATTCCAGGTGCAGCCCGCATGTTCGCAGTACTTTGATCTGGATCCGGAATTCGAGAAAACCACCGTGTCACCTGGTGTAGCTGAGCTCATTCCATAACAGCCTTGTGGTTTTTTTTTTCAATGTCTCAGCTGTTTGGCCGTTTCATCTATTCCATGGGAAGCTCTGTACAATTTATTGATCATTGAATGGTGGTGACATGACATTGTGTTTATTTGTGCATCAAAAAAATTAACCATGGCAGATTGTGTTGGTTTCAGAATACACATCCTTGCCGTTTTCGTTTTGCGCATCTATTTTCCGTGGGTAGTGATTTTGGTCCCGAGTCTGCGGGCTGATGTGACTTCTACCAAAATACCTCAAATGCTATTGAAAAATGATCACATTTCCAGATTACGTATTTTTGGTTCACAGGTGGGGTTTTCTGCCTCAGCAAATTCAATTCGATATTTGCAGTGTACAGTAATCTCTCGATACTGTATTTCGTGAAGTTTGCTCTACACTGGAATACGCGCTGTGGGTTTAAGACAACAGGTGCTTATTGCACTCAGTTTTGAGGAAACGAGCAAACAGAGTGGGCATCGTGTGTGCTCTTTATTCAAGCCTCACATTCGGTATATGTAACAGGTTTAATCGAACTTGAAAAGTAAGAGACCTGGTTGAGCATGTCTCAACCAGTTATATGCAAAAGGTGATAGTATACATGTGGCAATGGCGCCAATGAAGGTTTTATATTAGGACAGGCGTAAGATGCATGAGGTGCGAGGGAGTGTAAAGTTATAGCGAACATGGGAAAACTGTTACAGTATAAGCATTTTGGCATGTTCTACTTCACTCTGGCACATACAATTTGGTGTACATTTGCAGAATGATTCATAGACCCTTTTCTCAATTTCTCATTAAACAAATTCCGTCTGCGGGTTTTGCGCCTCACCACTTTGTTGGCCTACTTGATGTCAGAGGAACCACAAAATTCACTTCCTCATCTGGTACTGTCGTAGATATACAAATATCAAAATTGTTTCATCAAACTTGAACAAAACCGATATATAATAGTGAAGAAAAAAATCTTTCAAGTTCCATGCCTGGCACGCACATGGTGCCAAACACCTCACTGTAGCCTGAATAGACAAAAAATATGGAACGCTTCACGAATTTGCGTGTCATCCTTGCGCAGGGGCCATGCTAATCTTCTCTGTATCGTTCCAATTTTAGTATATGTAACACCGAAGTGATACAACAATATTATCATCGGGGGTGGCTTATATACTGCCTACGCCTTTGCAAGTGGCTATGATCAGGAAACGCGTTACGGACAATACAAATGGACATTATATAACCTAGGAACTTAGCGAATGCATGATCTGCAAACAAGAAAGATTTCCTTGGCTTGTGGTGTCTCGCGCGATGCCCGCCTACTGCGTCGTCATGGCAACTGCCAGTATAAACCAATCCCAGGTCAGAATGTTTTAAAAGCTGCTGTTGACTTAGGGCATGAATGGTGTATAATTATTTTGTAGACAGCATCCACGATTCGTAAGGTGGCCCTAAGCCTTCTGGCATAATGCAGAACTAAAATTAACGTAACGCTTCTGTACCTTGGGTAGGCCTCGGCGGGTAATGCCAGTTATTTCAGCTCAAAATGCTTTTAGCATTGCTAGTTTTTCGGTCATATAATGCTCGTTAGAATGCTAATTTGGACTTGTAATGCTTGTTGAAAAGGCAATGTGAACCACTCATATGGCATTGTGTCATAATGTAAGTCACACTGCACGGAATACTGCAATTGAAAGTACCTAGTACTTTGAAAGTAGATTATATGGTGATGCTATTTCAAAATGATGTGGAACTGAAGTTGCTATCATGAACTAGCAGTGAATAACAGTAAATCAGAACCCTACGTCGACAGTCTTCAAAGTACTTTGAGGGTGCATACGGAATGCCATTTTGGAAATTTAGTATATTGTGTGGTATGAAAAAGTACAATATAAGTCAACGTATCACTTTTTGGAATGAGTCAATCAGCACAGTGGGCAACTAGTGCATGAGTATAGGTAATCAGTCCAGACACCAAGACTTGGTGATTCATTGCAGCAATCCATTAGCAAAACAATGGGGCATAATACTGGCACCCAGTGAACACACTGTCACTCTAGTAGAAATGTTACTAACCCTCGATATGCTTGCTCCTTTGGCTTTGGGCAGTCGTGCGCATGCCTCACCGGGCTCATCCTCCACCTCTGCCTCGTTCTCGTCTTCCTTATTATCCTCCTCTGTCTCACTCTCTTCCTCCGAAGAATCAGAGACTTCCAACACATTCCAATTTGATGTACTCATGGTGCAAGCAAGCCAGCACTGCATGACTCTGTGAATAGGAAAGACAAGGTTTCTTTCCGTTTCCTATGAAGTCATCAACGTGGTACGTCTATACCTAGCAGTTGCCACTAAGATTCGCAACAAGAGACGCATGTTGCGAAGTCGCAGGCTAACGTTTAAGCAAAACTGCCAAAAGCCGCTGGTACAAAGTACAGTGTGTACGTTACATTGTAGAGCTCCTGTTTTATTCAGTAATGCACACTCATGAAGTGAGAAAATGACACTTTTGGGCGCTAATGCTTGTTTTGGCTCCAAATCCGGGTACAATGCTGGAGCATTGCTAGTTCTCAAAACGATGCTCGTAATGCCAGTTACAATGCTAGCATTACTCGCCGAGGCCTAACCTTGGGAGAATCACTTCAAATTTTCTGTGAAGGCTACAAAGAGATGGAGGGTTCCCTTCAAGTAAAGAAAGAGGCCATAGATAATCCAGAAATATCTATTTGAAATATTCGCGCAAATTTAACGCATGAGCAACTCTTAACCAGGACTCAAAGAAGTATTCAACTAACAGACTGCAAAAGAGATATTTACAATGTTCTATATACCAATAACAATGCATTGAATTACAGGAGTTTGACAAGGACATCAAACATGAAGCTCGTATTCAGGGTATGGTTACAAGTGCCCGTATTCGTTCTAAAAACGCCCATTAGAAAACCTTAGACGCTGCCCATATCCTTCCAGTAACCAGGACAAAAGTTATTTCAATGCATAGCTAATGCAATACAGAATCCAAATATATATACTTTGTGCGGTCTACAAACAAGCACAACACCAGTAGCTTGGTTAGGAGTTCCGGTTTCACCTAAGAAATGGAAGAAAAAGCACACTTTTCGGTGTCCCGAACACTGATCACAACATAGAGTACATCCCTTAGAATCCGCCTGCCTCGTACGTGACACCTTCATCATCCAATTTGTCTTCCTGTATACCCATTCGTACTCTTCTTCGCTTCTTCCGTCTGCTCTTTGCCCCAATGGATCTCTTTCTCTCTGCATCCTTCTGCCTTTCCTCATCAAGCTGGGCGAGTGCAGTGAATTCACCCTCTGGCATTCCCATTGCCGTCATTAGCCTGCCGAGAGCGGATGAACCATCATTGAAGGTGAAAACTGCGAGTGCAACTGCAGCCTCCGTCACCTTGGCAGAGCAGATGCCTGTTTTGGGACACATCTGCCACACCAGTCCGTTCAAACATTCATTCCTGTTCTGCGTGGCTCCATGTAAACACCTTTCCAGGAGACTACGCTCAGTGAGGCGCAAGTAGATAGGCTTGATCACTTTGAAAATGTCATCTGGTATAGCATCATGGTGAGTATATCTCTCCGCCCCCCCCCCCCCCCACACTGCTCCTGCTGCCACTTGCACCAGCTCTCAGTTCCAGTTGGACAGAAGTGGTGCTGAGGCTTGGTAACAGCCGGTGGTGTCTGCTTGTCGTAGATCTACGTCTTCTTCTGCTGCCAAAAACAAATCAACAACATGCTGAGCTGTGCTTGCAGCTGGGGGTGGTGGCTCTGGCTGTTTTGCGATGGAATCGGCGCTTCTTTGGGCGTCCAGGATGCCCCTTGAACTGTTTCTCCCCATAATCACCTGGCACTGGCTGGCATGCTATCGCCTGTGCGCGCTAGCGCTGACGACACTAAACAAACTCTATTTTTCAGACAACACGCATAATTATTCAAATAATTAATTTTCAGACCGTGGCGTGGAAGTCATGGTCTCGGGTCATCAAAGCAAGATCTGATCACGATCGTGACCTGACCGCTAGGCCATGAAAAAACTCGGAAACTCCACCAAATTTGAAAGAATTACCTTGAACTAATACTTACACGGTGAAGTAAAATAAATTAACAACAACAAAAACAACATGTATACCGTTTGAACTTTCCAAAGAAATTGAAATCCAATTTCAATTGATGACAGTGATAATATCTTCAGAGCCGCTCGCGCGGTTCCGCTAAAATTTTCAGAGAGTAAATACTAGGACTGTGGCGTGATTTTCAGCCATCAATGAGGCTGATCGGATAAACCTTTTTGGATTCATACGCCACACATTGCATGAACTGTAGCCTAAAAACAGCATTCCTGACCGGCACAAAGCTAAATAGAACCTGTGACTTCCTGGATTTTATGGCCAAGCACACCCATAATCGCTTTCCCGATTATGCGTCGCATTACCTTGCCTATCTCGATGGGCCTCACACCTGGTTTTTGTCCAGAGGAATAAGCCTGCAAGCGGTGTAAGCTACTAGACTGACTGGAGCAACACAAGCGGTGGGGATGCGAATGGCACAGGCGGCGACTGTAACAGTTTTACACCTACTTTCACCACTCACACCTTATCACCTTGTGTCACACCTACTCTCATATACATAACCAGTAGATTGAGTAATAAACGCTCTCTTCTTCCTTCGCTCAATCAAGAACTATTACATTGGTAGCAAGAGGATGGATCTCCATCCCCTGTGGTCGTTCGTGGGCCTAGTTCTGGCCTCGGCTATCAGCTCTATCGTCGTCAGCATCTGGATCGTCAACCGTCTCCGGAAGGAAGCTCTACCCTCTACTCAGTCGTCACCCCAGTGTGTTCCTGAGTCTCGTGCTTCAGCTTCCCAGCCTGCACCGCGTGATCGCGCACACGTCAAGGAGCCGCCCGTGTTCACCGGAGATCCCACCACGTTTCGGGAATGGGCATGTGCCGTCGAGTTGGCCTTGGCTTCGTGGCGCTTCGCGGATCCTAAACGTGAAGCTGAGTTTGCAGCCAGTTATATCGCTGGAAATCCGCGTCTGTGGTTGATGACTTCCCTGGAAGCCGGCGCTGCATACCCAGACTGGTCGTCCTTGAAGAAGGTATTAGAGGCGGCTTACGGTGTGAAGTACGACCAAGAGAGAGCTCGGTGGAGTTTGTTCTCCCTCTCCCAGCGCGGCGCCTTACGAGACTACATCGCAGAATTCTCGCGGCTCAGTTTTTTAATCACTGACCTGGATGGCCACTCTCGCGCAGTACTATTTGTCAGGGGCCTGGCCCCGGAGCTCAGGCGTGAAGTCATGAAGGAGCATCCTACAACCCTGCAGGAGGCGACAGAAG